ATGTGGATCTTGGAAAAACCTGTCAAACTTTCCCCAAGTCACACTGCAAGCACCTAAACCATCCTTGTTTTCAGTGACAGAGAACCGAAGCAAGTGGCTGAAATCTACACGGGAACGCATTGACAGACATGGGCTAGAACAGTTGGCCTCCCCAGACTCCAGCATTTTTACACATACAAATAAATATTTAATAAAAACATTTCCAAAGTATCTCTCCAAACATTGCAACATCCCATGAGCAAGATATAATTTCATTATGCTAAATATTGGCATATGCAGGATGCTTTCAATAATTAGCCATAATACTGGTTTTGGGAGGCAAGGCACATTATTCACAGTGAGTACAGGCAGAAAGATGCCTCAGGAAGCCTTAAATGCTGTGGGTGAGACACACATACCTGCAAATAATCTCACTACCATATTCGAAAGCATCCCCTCTGGTGGTACTAAGAGGTATGTGAATGTGTAAGTTCACAGTCACATCCCACCTGTGAACATCCTCAAAGATGCTAAATTTTACTAGCAGAGCTGTTCTTTGAGCCCTCAGACATGTATAGTCAAATTAAAGTCATCTCCCATGAGCAGAAAGAAGGTGGAAGGGTCTCCTCAGCCTTGAGAGCGTCTTACCAGAGCAGTCGCTGAACTATCCAGCTCACCCCTGTAAGGGCAAACACAGCCTAGCCCAAAGGAGACGAACACTGCCTTACATCAAGGGTAAAGAAAGGGGAGGAGCAGATCCTCAGCCCTTTCTTGTTTTAGATTTCCAGAGCTCATACAGCCATTGCTGTGCCCACCTGCAGTATGAATTAACTATGCAAGCTTTTATATTCTGCGTCCATTGTTTTCCAGTATAATGTCTGGATACAGAAAAGATACATAAGATAATCTACTAAATCTTGGGAAGGCGGGGGTCACGAGATATTAATGTTAACACATGCTCTTCTTCCTCTCTAGGACATCATGATGGCAACACGTTCCACTGAGGGCTGGGGGGGGAAATTGATAGGCCTGTCATTTGTTGTGAGAAATGTTCCTCTTCAGGATAATACAAATGGTGCAGTGCCTGATCATTTTCCCCTCCTGCACAGAGCTTTCTTCAATAATTTCAATTTCAATAATTTCACTAGTGAGGCGGTTTCCACATGCAAAAGATGATAACAGCATTCCTAAACAAGAGTCTAATGAAGACCAAGTTTCTCTTTCCCTAAACAGATATCCCAAGTTGGTAACAAGGCCATTTAGAGCTCTAAAAGCAAAGGATATGAGCAGTTTATTAACGACATTCTTTGGACTCCTTTTTCACTGGCAGTGATAAAAGTCTTGTTTGAGGTCTGCTGCATTTCTTAAGGACTGCAAGGAAGCAAGACTGTTTATAGAGATACTGGTGAGAGAGTGCTGTTTGATGAATGCTGGAGACTATAGCTAGGTGTCAGTGCTTAGAAAATGAGGCAAGGACATGAGGTATTAATATTGTCAATGATCTCCTGACAGGAAAACAGATACTGTATTCACCGTCAGATTTAAATAGACATCGAGTGCATTAATGACAAAAGGGCAGACTTCAAACAAAGGGGGCTGTATGGTGCTGTGCTGAGCCAGTCTCCAAGTTGGCAATAACCTGATCTGAAAAGACACTGTCAGGGCTACAGACAGGCCTGGGATTGTGTGCGGTGACAGAAAACAGAGATGCTGACAGAGATACCGGTGCCATATTATGCCAAGTATATTCTAACACTGTCTCCAGTCCTAACTAAATCTGACATCATTTCCTATCGCTTATAGTATCCTCCACTGCTCTGGCAGAATATTTCTCCCCAGACATCATTACAAACTCCACTGTAGTTTTAAAGTTACTGGCAGGCCTGTGCTGTCATGGAGGCTGGGTCTAGAGGCCTAAGGATAACCTCAGTCAATCTAAATTTGGAGTTTGCTGGAGAAGTGCTCTCATTTTCACTGATATCTCAGCTACTTGAGGTGATCTGAACGCTAAAGTGTGAGGAGCTGTCACCTTGAATAAAATCCTTAAAGTAAAGACGCTCTGTTCCCGGGATGTTCAGCAAAGATGTCGGACAGTCTGGCAGCAGGAAATGAAATCCAGCTGCTGCTGCTCGCCTGGGGATAAAGGTGCTTGGGCTAGTGACAGTTAAAGTCAGCTGAAATTTTTGAAATCCTGCAGCCTACAATTGTTTAAATTAAGGAAGTGTTGTCTCCGCAGAGATTCCCTACCCAGGCACACAGCTGTGATTCGATTGCCAGGCATATTACACACGCTGCTCAGAGAGCCTTGATAAAAGCACAGTTGAAAATGTTGCCATGAGACCTTGTTTATCATGAAGGTTATTTGTAAAACAATAATCTGGCTCATAAATTAAATGTGGTGACTGGCTTGGTTATTTGTTTTGCTTTGTTTTTCCTCTTTATGTCCCACCTCCCTTTGGCAACTACAGAAAGCTCAGAGAACTGCAAAATGTTTGTGTGCCGCAATGAGAATTTTGATGCTAAGATATGTCACATATGAATTTAGGAAAGCTACTGCTTTTTTTCTGCCTATCTGCCATGGTATTCTTTCCTTGCAGGGCTGGGACTACACTTGTTCTTTTGCACAAGACAAGGGAAAGAATGAGGGGAAAACAATACATCTGTGGCTGTTCTTCTGTTTTTAATTAAAATATCCAGCATTGGCCATAATAAGCTATGTATACCCTCTATACATCAAAACAATACACAGCATCCAGAATGAGGTTTCTGCTCGAGGTTCTTAAGAAATGACAACACAAGGTCTCTTGAGGGATCATCTTCCCTGAATGAGGCATCTAATTTTTCTTAAGTAGCTGATTCTATCATCACCACAAGCTGTTAAAACTATAATTATGAAAAAAATGCATTGGGAAGAATCATTTTTAAATTCACTCTTTATCTTTTAAATGTTTCCATCCTTTGGAATGGATGTTCTAATTATGCTGGGTAAGTAATGACCTTGCAGTTGCTTGCGTGTGCTGTGGTATCAGTCTTTCTTCACAAACACATTGTAATGTCAGCAACACCAGCTTTTCCTTAGCTGAGGGAAAACCCAATTATCCAAATAAATAAATAAATACATACGTGCATACTAAAGCATTTGAAAAAGTTCAAAGTCATGTTAGCTCCTTTTAAATTGGGCATATTTTGCAGGGAGCTTTGGTGCTTTTAGACCCCTATACGCTTTGTTAGAGCGAATAAAGGTTTGCAGATCATCTTTCCTTTTTCCTACCACATTAATACTCGACATTTAGAAAAAATCACCTCTCAGTCATCACAACTTGGGCAGCTTCCAGCAACACAGCTTCCTCCAGTAGCATTCAGTTTTCTTTAAAAAATAATAACTAAAACTAAGTAGTCAAGCCAAAAATTCTGCCACCCCCATCAAAACCTATTGCCACATCTGCCCAACATCCCCACCAGGCACCCATTTTAACATCAAATGTTTTTAATAAGCCCCTCTGCAAGTGAAAGCAGCAAAGTGTTCACAATTAAATTTGTTTGTCAAACACTGGTCTGCAGTATCCATAGGGAGTACATTTCAGCTAACAGCCTTCTGCCTGTCTTTCACATGGACTAAGCACGGGGCCTGGTACCAGGAGCTGTGGTCAGATAAAGTGTAGCACTCCATACACAGACTCAATATTCTAGTGGAATTCCACTTCACCTAACTTTAATTAGAGCACAGTACCTAAATCCTCCACTGCCAATTTGTATTTGATCCATATTCATCTCTTTTTGCACAACCTGCTGTTGCATAGTTTTGCTATGGGCTATTAAACAGCTGCCATGTTCCACCAAGAAGCTGGGTGCATTTCAGTGTGGTTATACTACCAATCTGTAAATTGTTTTGAGACCCTTCAGGATGAAATATCAATACCATTATCATTTTTTTCATAGGCACTTGGGCATATTCTACAATTAATGAACAGAAGCTGTGAAATTCCCTTAAATATTAATATAAACTTCCTATAAAAGAAAGTAATTCCCTGCTGATAACATTTAGAGGAGAATAAATACCTATCTATGAACAATTTGAAGTCTACATTGCTACTGATTTAGGCAAAACACCTCCACGAGTCAAGTTAATTTAAAAGTCTTAAAAATCTTTTCATCTAAGGGATATGTAAAGCCGGGTAAATAAAAAAAAAAAAAAACAACAACAAAAAAAAAAAACAAACAAAAAAACCAACTCAAAAGCAAACCTGTTAGTACAGGAGCTTAGTAATTTTTTATTTTGTATTTATCTACCTGGAAATTCTAGCAACTTTAACTAGCTGTCAGATTGACAACTTATTTTCAGGTCCTTTTGGTGAAACAGAATAATTGTTCCTATTGAATTTGATCCAGCCTATGAATTCTTTGACACAGGAATCTAAGAAGATCCCCAAGGAAAGGTGTAAAGGATCATCTGGGTCACCAGGTACTCCCCAAGTGTGTAACCCAGAGAGATCCACTCAGACCTGCACTCTGCCCCAGCAAACACACTGGCACTGCCAGCATGGGGAGGACTGGGCTCACAAACTGCAATGTGACACAGGAAAAGAACAGAAGAGTTGCAGCTGTCCTTGCTAATGTGATGGGTTCTCTGGCTGCTGCCATTTAATCTGCTTGTTGTAACCACAGTTTCCAGATTGCTCCCAGCTGGAGTCAAGACACAGGATCTTGACTCCTTAAATCAGAGAAGAAGGAGCAGCAGAAAGAGGAGAACGCAACAAATATGAATGCTTTTAACTGTGCCACAGCTAAATGCTGTAGAAAAGAATTTTAAAAAGACCTGAAATATCACTGCAAGAAACAAGCCCAGATAAATTCCCTAAAATGTTATCAAAACATACTCACAAGTGCTAACATAACAAATGCACAAGTATTAACTTTATGTTACAAAGGAGTTAATTTATTTTTAAGAGGATAGAAACACTAAATGAAAGCAAAAACGATGTATAATTTCTCAAAAACTAGCTATGCATAAAGGGGTGAGGTTGTGCTTGAGAAGGCTGGGGATAGAGCTAGCTGTGGCTAAGGCAAAATTCCTTCACCATGGCCACAGCACTCACAGAGCGGTCCCCCAAGTACTCCCAAAGAGGCCCCTGTGAATTAGGGATTGGGGTCCATTGCAGGTTTCCTGGAAAAAGAAGACATATCTTCAGTAGCAAACTGCTGATTCTGATTCCCCCCTCCCTCTGGGGGTAACAACATTCAAGGAAGGTAACCTTCCCATTCAGAAGAGATGAATTACCTCTTTGCTCTGCTCCCTGCACAGGGATGCCGAAAAATGATAGCATTTTCCTCTGGACACCCTACAGCATGGGGCACAAAATGGTCTTTCAGGTTACTGAAAGGCACAAAATCAAATCTGTATCCAGTCTACAGCAACGGCGTTGGAATTATACACCTAAGCTAGAGAGGATTCACAGAAGGCAAACTAACACACTGAATTATTGCAAGCATCCTGCACAGACAAGTGCTGCGACATGTCAAGTCTCGCTGGCCTGTTTGTGGGAAGGGGGAAAAAGGGGGGAGTATGTAGGGAAGTGAGAGCAGGGGAGGGGGGAGCAAAGCAGTCAGCAGGGAGGGGACGTTGGAAAAATTTGCAATGAAGGTGATAGGAATACAAAGATGTGAAGTTTGCATCCTGGGCCAAGGAAGCTGCATAAATGTTCAGTGTAAACTAGCAGTCAAGCTGATGTGTGATAAAGTGCAGCCTGCTGTAAATACACTTCAGGGCTCCCAGTGCAACTAGGGAAGAAACTTGTAATTTGGAAGGGGGGGTGGGGGGCAGCGTGGAGGAAGAAAAAGTAAAAAAAAAAAAAAAATAAAAATGCACTGCAAGCTTTTTCTCACATAATCTGTTACTGGAAAATTGAGAAGCTTGTCCAAGTCCGTGGGAATAAGCTGATGAGCTGATACTTAATAATAAACCATATTGTGTCATGGTGCAGAGTCATCTAGATCCATTCAGGCCACAAACTATATTACTTTATACAGCCCTGGCTGACATACATTTAAAGCCCTCTACACATTAAGGAGCCATTAGGCTGACAGATTAAAAGTTATCTTGGAGCTAATGTTTCCATTATGCGTATCCTGGCAGTGGAACAATCAACACACTGTTCCTCAGATGTCATACTTTGTTTAAAAAAAGGGTAGGGGGGAGAGCAGGGGGAAAGGAGGGTATCCTTCCCTCCTTGAATGACATTGACATGATCAGCTTTGATCTGGGCATGTGCTGTCTACAGATTCTCTACTGTTGGCTAAAATAGGAGCATTTAGGGCATAATACTTTAAATCATTAACCAGTTCCATACTCCTCTGGGTATCATTGTTACAATTTAAGGTTCTACACTTGGGATTTCTCTGGAATCTTTCCGTGCTCATTGTAGCTATCATCAGAGAAATATGTGGAGGGGTTGGAATGTCTCTTTCTAATGAAGATGAAACCAAAAGCACACAACAAAAATACGCAAACAAACGAAACCCCTAAACCAAATGCTTTTGTCTCTTCAGTGCACCTTGACCGGTTTTGCACTGTTACTGTCACGGAGAGAAATTCATGCTGACATTATTAAATAAATACTTGTGGTGAAATATGTTGAAAAATTAAAGCAGATTTTTATTTTTATTTTCAGTTACTCAGAGTCATACATTTTAGAGTTAGCTAGATACTGTAATCAAAGAAACCCAAGCACACACAAAGCATCAGTGTGCCGTATTTTAGGGGTGGACCGATGCTTACATTTGGGTATATTGAATGCCCTCAAAGGAGATGGAGGAAGAGAAAGTCCTTTTAGTGATGAAAACCCTTCTCCAGGTGTCTCAGGCTCTCATTTCTGCTCTAGATGAGAGTAAAAAGGGAAGGAAAGGCTGGATGGCCCGGCACAGGCCGCGCTCCGGCAGCGAGCGCCGCCCCTCCCTGGGGAGCGGTGCGGGCGGGCCCGCGGGCACTAGGGGGCAGCAGCTCTTTGTGCCAGCCCCGCCGAGCCGCG